CAGGCCTTCCCTCTCCCTGCTACAAATCTTAACCCTTCCTGGCATCCAGTGCTCTTTGTCCTTGGATAGCCCACTCTTAATTATTTAAGAATTAAAGCACATTTTTAAATTAAGAATTAACCACAATTTTCTGTTTAAAACCGTTAGTTTGGACTAAAACTGTGAAATTCCCTGCTCATGCTTCCTGCCCTCCTTCTTCTGGTAGCATGTGAAACAGTCTATAACCCTTGCAGAGGCTGGAAAACTTCCAGATATTTATCTGAGTATAGATGACCAGGTCTAGTAAAAACATTATCACTTACCATAAGGATCACACTTGGAAAGAAACCCAAAGCGTGTCCGAATTCAAGTCTTCAACTTGTATGAAGCTGTGGGTATCTTACTAAATCTTCCTGCTAAATGAAAATGTCTTTATACTTTTCTCTCATTTTGTAGCTGGCAGGGAAATGCTTTTTTCTGTCTTTTGGGAGTTTTTAAGATTTCTTTCAACTAATTCTCTGGCTAATCAATAAGCTGCCAAAAAAAAAAATCAGACTGAGCAATTTGCTTCAGTAATTTCAAAATATTTCATGTTTTGCTTTCACTTATAAATTAAAAATTAAAACCAAAATTCCCAAGCAAATGTTCACTTAGAAAAATATCTACTGAGATGCAATGGTTTTGAAACATCTTTAACATCTTGTTTTCAGTTGAGGAAACTCATGAAAGCCACATTATTTTCTCCAAACCTTTTTGACTGTTTGGCATTTTCCAACACAGACTTTTCATGGAAAACTCCAGACATAATCCACTTGTATCATCAGTTCACTTTCTGGGGATATTCTTGTTTGGGATGGCTTCAGAGAAGAAATAATTGAGAACTTCATAATCTGAGTTGATGCAGCACTGAAAATTTCAAAACTGGAGAAATTATCATAGAACCATAGAATGGTTTGGGTTGGAAGGGACCTTAAAGATGATCTAGTTCCAGCCCCCTGCTATGGGTTTCACTACACCAGGTTGCTTAAAGCCCTATCCAGCCTGGCCTTGAACACTGCCAGGGATGGGACCCCCACAACTTCTCAATTATCCATGTCCAAGTACCTATTCATGTGAAAGATTGTATTTCTCAAGGCATGTATACCAATGGCCCATTGTCCCTTCTAGTCCTCTCACTAGGACTGATGCAAGTGTTTCTGTGGAAGTAAAAATCTGTCATTTGTTTTGCACAACTTTTACACTAATTCTTTACCAGTGTGTAAACTCCATAGCAAATCTGTTAGGATTCCATCCTGCAAGGAAAATGCACACAATATATCAGAGGAAATTTTCTTCTTTTCTGTCATGCCAGACATAGAATTCACCAAATAGGCAGAACTGGAACTTTTGGAAAGGGTAAAGTCAGATTCGCTACAGAACATGTTATTTTTTGCAGACAAGGAATCACTTCTCAGTGTACAATTAGAAACAATTAGAACATAGTAATTTTAACCCCCCAAAGAAAATTACCATTTCTAGTTTTAACGTTCATTTGTTCAAAGCTTATGTAGGCATTTGTCATGTTAGAGTAATTTCTCTACAGAAGAAATGTAGAACCAAGAGTGCAAGACTGCATTGATGTTTTGGTTCATCTTGAAGGAGGGAACCTTCTGCCATAGATCTTGATGCTCAAGAGGAAGAACAGCACGTACAAGGACGAGGAGAACCAGCATGCCAGTGGCCAAGAGCCTGCCACTAGAGATAAAGCTGGGGAACCATGTCAAGGTAAGGGCCCTCATAAGCCACTCAGCAAATGCTTTCTTTGCAACTCTTGCTGCTGTGCTTACCTGCTTCCCAATACCCACAGTCTTCGTTTTCCTCAGCACACTCTGCAGGATGACAGGAAAACCTGAGGTTTTCCACAGTTTCTGGAGAGAGGAACAGGCTTTCAAACAAGTGTTTGCCTTGCCTAGAAGTAGCTGTGCTGAGTTACACCAAAGGTCCAACCACCTCACCACATCTGTGGCAGAAACCCCTAGTAGATATACAGATGTCAGAAGTCAAACACACACGAATTCTTCTCCTGAGGCATTTTCCTTGTTCCTGCCACCCAAGGCATTACAGAGACTGATAATTGCATAAAACAAGAATGTTTATTGATATCAAAGGAGCTATCTTCCATGCATGTCTAGTCCTCTTTTAATCTATTTTTGATATCCTGTGGCAGAAAATCCTGCAAGTTAATTCTGTTGCATGACAAACATGAAATTTTTTTCACTTTAAACTTCTTTTCTTTCTTGTATTAACATAGTGAATAAATAATCCCCTCTTCAGAATATTCTTAACATTTGTCATCATATAAACCTCAGCCATCTCCTTTCAAAGAGTTCTAAATTTATCTAGTTTTTTCTCATGTGGAAGCAGATACATACAATTACCCACAAGAAAACCACTGTCAAGCCCAACTGTTGTTACTGAGACTGAAACTCTTCCAAAAATTAATTATTTAAAATAATCCAAATGGTGCAAATATCTAAAGATCAGGCAGATCTATAAAACCTGCCTACAGCAAAATCATGCAATTAGAATCATGCTCATAAGTGTTGGAGTCTTAAAACATTAATAGACCATTTTAATGGAAGGAGTTATTAAAATTGTATTTGAATTGCATTATTACAACACTGAATGCACCATGGAAAACTGAGTTCATGAAAGAAGTGCAGCACAAAACAGATTCTTATTGTTGGAACTTTAAAATAGACCATGCTTTACAGTTCTGCCTGAATTTTCTTTAGTTTTATTCCTCTTCTAAATTGATAAGAACTGCTGTTTTTATATTAGAAATAGAAATGAGGAGGAGGAGGAGAAGAAAATAGCTCAATATTGAAATAAAACCTCAGAAAAGTAATTTGAGGAGAAAAGAAAAAATCCTTCCCAAAGTAATTTGTATCATAGATGTGTTGTTCTGATCATAACCACTATTAAAAGTGCTATGAATTGCAGGGTTTCTGTAGATGATTTAGGAAAAAGTTGCCCCAAATGTGGAAGCAATTATAAAGAAATTCATGACTCGTTAGTAAGCATTCCTTGTTTTATTTCTGTTACAAGGAGACTGTAATTTCTGGATCTCTATCTGACATCTTTGTATTGGGCACTTATCCTCCCTGATGTGTTTATAAAATTCCTACTTTCATTAGTGGGACATCACCAATAAATCTGATGTACAAATATCTTCCTTAATCCAGCAGAAAACGGAGTTTGTTGGAGTCAATGGGATCATTTCCATCTTTTTGAACAGACTTGGAAATAAACCCACAAGGGTTAAAAATATATAACCAGAATCCCAAGGTGGAGGAAGGAATGCAGTGCGTTTTTCTCTGCAACAGAGGTATTTTTAGTTTTGTATTCTTTAGAATCCCTATAAAGGTACGTCCCTCATGCACAGTTGTCTAAGATAGCGTTTAGACATTTAGACTTGAGTTGATTTAATCTAGTACAGAAGCGTGCTCTAAATTTTTCAGGGCAGTGCCAATGTGCAAAAATGGTGTCTTCATGTTCAAAAGCTCTGTATGGTTTAGAGGAACTGTGCCAATAAATTAAAGGGTATTTCCACTAAAAATAGAAATGTTCTGGACTTAAAATATGGTTTAAAATTCAATAACGAGATCCTCAGCAGGTGTAAATCATCACAGAAATGATGTTGTAACACTTTACATGATATTACCAAATTGTCTTGCTGGTAATTAAGAAAATCCTCTATGGAATCAAGACCAATGACAGGAGAAAGTATAAGTTGATATTGTCTCAGCACGCATAAGTGGAAGACAGAAATATTCATGTGCATAATCTTACACCTTGCCTACATGATACCCAGTGGGTTAAAGTAATAGCATACCAAATTATCTTGGAAAAGGCAATTCTCAACAGAAACTAAAAATCTTACAAGCTGTCTGTAAATTACTCATAATTATACATGGCAAAAATGAAAATAAAACCAAGGCAAATACTTGAAAAAAAGTTTCTTTAAATTTTCTTTAAAAATCCAGACCATATTACTCAAATACTTTTCTGTATTTCATCCCAAGAAAATCAGTATCTCTTTTTCCCAATTCCTTTTCATGGTCTTACTATATTTGCAGCCCAGAGAAACAAATGTAATTCCTATTGGGAAAGTAATGAAGTCATTCTAATGAAACGTGACAAATTTTTGCTCTGAATTTCTGGTGCAAATTTCAGGGGAAAAGGATACCTCTTAATTCAATAGCCACTTCCATGAAGAGCCATGCAAACTACACTGTTTCCTACAGCACAGTCCCTTTAATATACCAACATAGGGACTTTTCCAAAAGCAAACATTTCTTTATCAAGCTCTTCCCTTCCTCAGTATTAAAAGTGCATCTCTTTGATCCTGGTGAAATAAACAGCTTCCTTAAGGAGATGTGAGGAACAGTTTTCCCAGAGAAGCTGTGGCTGCTCCATCCCTGGCAGTGTTCAAGGCTGGGTTGGATGGGGCTTGGAGCATCCTGTCTAGTGAAAGGTGTCCCTGCCCATGGCTGGAAGTTGGAACCGTGATCTTTAAGGTCTCTTCCAACCCAAACCATTCTATGATGTCCATTTTGAGCAACATAGTCTCAGGGTTGGGATCTCAGATGTTCATGAATCATGCTCTGACTATGTCTTCTGCTCATGGCTTTCTGCAGTATCCCATGGGGTTTTGAAATAACTTGCTTTTAATTCAAATTAAGTCACTATGGAGGTGGCAGATCTAAATCCCGTGTAACAAGGCACACAGCTGATGACCAATACTCTGACTTCTAATTTTAGAAAGTAAGATCAGCTTTGATTCCATTATCCCCCAAAAATAGTCAGAAATAGTCAACTGAGGGAGAAAAAGTATAGTTCATAGTGGTGAATGACACTTGGTGGGTGCATGGGTTTAAAATGTCCTGTAAGTCCAGAATAACCAGAGTCATGGTGTCGTAACCAGATGGCGTTACAAGGCTTACATCTTTACCATACATGAAGATAAAAAATAGTCTGTATAGATTACTTGTGGGAATCTTTATTGCAGATATTAAAGGATATTAGCAGAAATCAGGAAATAATTAAGTGTATATATACGATTAGTATTTGACCTTGTGGAAAATGTAGAAGGCAAAAAATACTGTGTATTAGAGATCCCTGAGCAAGATGTAGACTTCATGTGCACACATTAATTCCAAGACTTTTCCAAGGTATAAAAAACAATCCACTAACAACAGGAAGTAGAATTATGTGAACACTTCTCTGAAGCCCTCAAAACCAAATCTGGATGCCTCTCGGAAGCAGTCTCCAGCAGCATTGTCCCTCCAGGAGTTAGTATCTTCACAGTCCAAGCAGGGACACACTGAATATTAGCATCTTTCTGAAGCTACTTGATGTATTGAGCTCTTTTTTAACTTAGTATCCTGAATTTTCTTGTGTCATGTAACATGAAGTGTAGCCTTTTTCCTTATTAATACAGAACATACAAATATCCATGTGAAAACTAGCAAAATGCTGCCTGTTGTAAAACAGCAAATCTTTTGTATAGGGGGAAAATTCTGTGACCTGCCCACTAAAGGAGAAGCACAAATAGTTTCTCCTGTGTGGCTCCCAGTGAACTCATCCCATTTTGTGCGTATTGGAGCTTTGCAAATCTCCAGAGCTTTGTGTTTAGCAAAGCAGATGTGCAAACGGGCAGATCCCGGTGACCTCACCTCTGAGAATAAGGCCTTTGACATACATTACTCTCCTGCTGACAGCAAGAGAGGTGTGGATCAGTTGGCATTTCACACCTGCAACTAATGTAGAAGTTGTAATGGTATAAGTGAGCATTAGGAATAAAAGTGATGCTTTGGACACGAACCAGCTATATTTAACAGGAAAGGTGCAAATCCACGTTATGGCTCGGGATATGTATTAGCTGCAGCCCTTCTTTAACCTGGAAAGAAAGAATTATATCCAAGGGGACTTACCTCAAAGAGTTTCTCTTTCCTTTGGCAGAAGTGATGATTAGGCTAAAATTGGCCGTTTGTTTTATCTGTAGTTGGGGAATATACGATTTAGTTTGTACAGCTTCAGCTGGTACACCAGTCTCTGTTCAAGATCCTGATCTATAGATACCTCTTCGCAATCAACAGAGCAATCAACTTTGAGTAGAGCTCAGGGCCTCGCTCATCTCCTTTACCCTGTCTGAGCTGGCCTGGTAGATCTGTAATATCCCCAGTTCTCCAACTCTCCTCTGCTTTGGGATGTCTGTGCCTCCAGACAGGCTCCTGCTGCCAGGAATTACAATGTCCTCTCACCTACTATTTTCTTGTTGGTAACAATGATCTGCACTGCTCTTTGGTGCTTTTGGACTTCTACTAATAGTGCAGCATGTATTAGCCTATAACACTATTGATCAGGGCTCTGTTCACTAAAGCAGATTTATCAGCTACAAAGCATTTGGGGTTGGCTTGTGTGTTGCCCCATCTAGGAGTAACAAATCTTATTGGGTGGGTAGAAGGGTACCGTCACCCTTTATATCAGCTTGCTTTAGCCCTGAGAATTCATCTCCACTTGGTTTTTGGAGGTTTCTTTGTCAGTGTCTAACAAGTGGCTGCTCTGGTGCATCATGGGCTGTCTATCTGGCTGGGAAATGTCATGGGTGGAAAAGAGGAGTTTTGTCTCCTCCTGCCAAGTGTGCACAGGGTGGGAAAGGGTTACATCAGCACATCTCCCCTTGAAAAGTCAGGGAACATGACCCCCAACCAAAATGGACCCCTGGGCAACTACGTGACATTCAGCTTGAGGAAGGAAACCGGTTTGTCACCTCATTGCCTAACGTGTGATCTCAAGCCAGAGCTGAGGTGTACCTATGGGCGCAAGAGATAAGATGTTGTTAACGCTCTGCTCGTATTCTGAAGATATCTAGTTTCCAACCTCAGAATGGGATACAACATTTAAAATGTAGTGGGATTCTAGGTTACATGAATACTAACTTATAGGTCCTCCTACCAAATGAAACAAAACATCTCTCCCTATTCATCCTCCTTATTTCTGTTAGAAGATGCAACAGCTCGAAAACAGATGAGACCTGTTATAATCCATGACCCCCTAGCCTGAGAACTGTATATACATATAGGATAGTGTTCTTACCCAGAATAGTGTAAGCTATGGATGAAGTATGTATGAATACTTTCGTGTAACATGATTGTATGCATATACTCTGCAAAATGTCTTTTGTATGTACTTGGAAAAAGTAATGTATATGATTCAAAGTAATCAGGTACAGTAAAACATGCAGGAAGAACACAGAAGAGACAAGAGAAGGTATAGATAAAGGTAGGAAAAATGCCTCTCTGGCATTGTACCTTCAGAGTTTCTCAACAATTAGGGTACAGTGGTTTTGTTACTCTTGATGCAAACAAACCACTGAAGTTTTCCTGCCTTTTTTCCCATGTATAATGTCCTTTAAGCTGTGATGAGATCACTGGTGCATTAGTTTTAAACTTTTCAGAAAGAATTCAGGAACTGCAGTGAGGTCATGACTGCAGTGATATCTAAAAGGATGGTTTTATGGAGGAGAAATTTTCCTCTCATTTAGCGAAAGCATAACAGAATTTGCAGCTGTCAAGTGTTTTGGACAAGTTAAGTTTGTTTATTTTTGACTGTTGTATGTTTTTGCAAATGACAGACTGCTTTATGCTCTTTTTCTCTTCCAAAGTATTGCATTAATCCAACACAGTTTACAGACAAAGCACCCTGCTAGAGTGGTACTCCATTTGAACAATCATCTAGCAGCATCCTTACCTGTGGTACCACCCCAGTCATACAGACAAGAAGAGGGTAAAACAGTCAGACTGCTCTGACGACCTCACTGTGCTCACATTAGACCTCTGTATCCTTCAGAAGGCAGATGCTTCACTAAGAACATCCTTGTTCCTGTCTCTTTCAAAGAGAAAAATCCTTGGAGCATCTCCCAGGGCCATGGTGTCCCTGTTTAATATGACGTATTTGTGCCTTGTTGATCAATGGAGTAAAGTCAGGCATAAATCCGGACATTTCAGGCAATGACTGGGACTTGGAAGTGCCAAATTTTCACTGTTGCTCTGATTTTATCTCCAGTCTTTTTTAACTCGCTGTTTGCTAAGTTAAGTAACAGTGGATTGGATGGATTTAGTAGTGGAAATATGTAGGCAGATATGCCCTGCTTTACCATGGCAAATATATTGTATTTTACTGGGTTCTAACGAACTTAAAAATTACTCCCCTGCATGCTGGCTGCCTGGGTCAGAGAGGTTATTTTGCCTTTGCTGTCTTCCTGGATTCCTGAGATAATTCCCTCTGGATTTGTTGGGGCAACAACAAAGTGGTGATAACAAATACACTGCTGCTTTAATCCAGTGCTATGCTTTCTCCCTCTTTGCAACGTGGATTTGTGCCTACTACCAGTTACCCTGCTCCTAGTTTAACAACTTCAGGGCATTAGTGACATACAGCACAAAACCAGTTCCCCTTTCATATCGAGAGACCAAATGTCCTGCATGATCTGTGTGACACAGCAGAGGCCACAGGTTTAGTTTTGCTCAAAGAGTTTAAGAGCTTTAGTTACCCAGAGAGGAGTGGGAGATTAATGGTGTTCACTGATAGTGATAGTGAACTGTGCGCTCTAAATCCCACTGCAAGCAAAGAGAGCCCACCTCTATACTACTAATATATATAGCTATAGAAAACCTTTCTATTTAAAAAGACTAATTAATAATGCTTAGTGGTCTGGATTTCTCAGTATGAATTGCAGGGATTTTGGCAAGCTTAGGGAGGTGGGGAAATGGTTTACGCTGCCTTGTTTAAAATTGCAGGTTTTAAACTGTTTAAAGCGATACGCAGATAGGGTTTCCACACCAGATTTGAGACATTTGTTCCTTTTTATTTGTACTAAAATTTCGGCTTGAGCTCACATTGCCATTCTACCCAGGCTGCTTCCCAGACCAGCTAATTTGTCTACCTGTGTTCCATTTTAGGCCTTGGTTTTAATTTGAGGATGGTTCCTGCTAATACCAAAGACTGGATAGGACATCCATTAAAAGTCTACACAGCAATTGAAATGGAAAATTCCAAAAGAAACCCTATTAGAGTTTTTCTCCATCAAATCAACATTACAGACTTCTTATGCATTTCTTAATTAGACATTGATATTAACTGGACTGTTGCATGATTTAAATCTAGCTCTTAATCTCGGCTATTCTATGCTGCTGTAGTTTTTATGACATCCAACTAGCGACTGCTTTATGCATTAATCTATCTGGAAAACCACCTTCACTTTTTTTTTTTGTCTTTTTTTAGAAGAATAAAGGCCCCAAGAAGGAAATGAAAGCTTTTGGGTTCAGCCATTAGTAATTTTCTGCTTAGTATTTGAAAAATTGCTTATTTTAATTGCTTCATAGAAGAAAAAGATATCAAAGCTAACGTTCTTTCTCTCCAAACTTTGTAATTATTTCCCTCAGACTCTTATTTGAAATGCCTTGAAAGGATTTTCATTGAAATGTAGATTTCTTCCCTTTCAAAAGTACTTTTATTCCCCCATGCTTCTTTCCCCTTTTTTTCTCTACTGACTTCCTCCCTAGATTTAGAGCAAAATACATAAACTCCAATCTCTGGACACTGTAGCATGTGTCACACAGATGTCCCTTAAGTGCCATCTTTATTAAAACTAACCTTCCCATGGCCTAGAGGCTGTGCTGACAGTTGACCATAGGTCTTAGCTGAGTATCCTTGGGCTTCCTCCACAGGCAGTGAAGAAGTCATAGATGTTATAGGGGTTTGATATATCAGTCATACTCATTCTGAAAATTGCTGTGTGATTTGCTTATTAATATCACTACCACAATCAGGGAAGCTGAATGAAGTCACTTTATAAATGTCAGTGAAGTCTGGGGCTTGTGATACAGTTTAGGGACAGGTGAGCTTTGTATAGTTTCAGTTTCTGTTTCCAGCAGTATAAAGCCTGAATATCCTAATCCAGGAAGGAATTTGCTAACCAAACCCCATAGTTAGTTCAGCTTTGTATTTAAACATCAGGAGCACAAAGCTTCAGGATCATGTTGGCCTCATCAGTAATCCTTGATACAATACAACAATAGTAGCAAGAAGTTCTTTATTTCACCTATACATTTCCAGGAACGTTATTTACTAATAGATTATGATCTGGTCAAAATGATCTATACATTCATTACACCTAGAGTGGGCTTTCATAACTCACAGTATCTAAGAATGAGGCAAAACTCGCATTGGTTTATAGTGCAGAATTCTGCTCAGCAAAAAAAAGGTGCATTGAAAATACTGTCCTAAGCACCTTGTGATCCATTCCAAGTCCTGGGTGATTTCTCATGCCAGCTCAAAAGCATCTTTAAGAGCCTCAGAAGAGTGGGCACCTGGCTGCTTCAGAATACAGCCGTTCTCTCTGCAAATAAGTGGTCCCGCAAGCCTAGTGCGGTCACGGGTAAGGTTATCTCGCAGGGGGAATCTTCACAGCAGAACAAAACATTTGGAGAAGATTGAAATGAAGCTAAAGCGTTCTCAATATCAGATTTTATATGCGTGGTTTTTGCAGTCACTCAAAAGGAAGAAAGAGAACAAGAAAATGAGTTAGAGGAAGATGGAGACAGAGATGGTCTTTTAAGCAAAGCTACTCTCTGGATTTACAGTCCTGATAGACATCTTTATTCAAAATTACTCATTTTTTATATTCAGATACTACAGTTTTCAATACCGAGTCCTACATTTGTCTGGACAGATTACCCTCTTATTCCCACAATGAAACTTAATTATCCCTTTTATGTCTTCAGATACTTTCAGTCTTTTCCTGAACCATTTCTGGGGACAAAGAGCAGCTGATGGGTCAGTCAGAAAAGCAAGTGTTTTGCATCCCTGTTGGCCACACATTTTTGAAGGCAGAAGCCCTTTGCCCCCAGATTTCCTTAGGAAGACTTTGAGTGCTAGTATATAATTTACTTGGACTTACTTTTGCTGAGCTTTTTACTAGGCAGAGACTCATCATTTTCTCAGCACCTTTCTGTGTATTACTTGGAAGCATCTTAATGTGAGTAACTCACCTGGAATCTGTAAAAGGATATTTAAATGATTCACCTCTGAGACAAGAATAACCCCTCATGAAATCCAGGATGGGAATGACTGCAAGGTTTAAAACACACCTTCCTATGTATCACTGCTGTTGCAGTGGAAAGGAATGCATCTGAGTAAAGTCCAAATAACTAAATAAATTGGTTCAAAACAGCAGTAGTAGTACAGAGTGTTGTGTAAGTTACCAGTATTGAGTAGCTGCTACACTTCAGGACGCTTCCTTGGTTTCATCTGTAAAGAAGCCTGTAACATACATTATCCATTATCACTACCTTCTGTGTCTGAGCAAAGCTAATAGAGTAGTCAACATGGAAAGGTTGCATGAGGTAATCCAAGACTTGCAAGTAATAAAGAGAAAATTATAATGAGTATCCATTCAGTCTGAGAGTTATTTTTTAGCTCTTTTTCTAAGTTCCAGTTGTTCAAATAAGAAAGAAGTGTTACAATAAATTAATATATATATAGGCTTAAGAAAATCGCCACATTCATCAGAACCCAGAGACAGCACAACTGGTGTGTGTTATAGAGTCCCTTCTGAATGAAATGCTAAATCCCAGAGGACTGACCTGGTAAAATAGTTTTAATATATGAATGGAGCAGTGTTTCTATGGTACATGGAAATGCTTTATTGCATTGAACAAGTAGTGGTCCATAGCAATTTCACAACTAGGCTGGGATTAACAACAGACTTTGTATGGACTTTATACATTGTACAAAACCCAAATTAAACAAAAATGCACTTACCCTGGAATAGTATCCAGATACCAGTCACATCTCTGCATGAAAGTTGCTGCTTCCAAATCCAACCTGTGACCTGAGCCTGGAAGCAGAGAACAAGATGGTGCAGTATCGGTGAGACCTCATAGTCTGTCATACCAAAACCAGAGATTAAGATGGCACTGCAGAATAAAATACAGGTTTCTCTGTCACACCCAGCCTACATTTTTTCCTGATGAGTTTATCACTCTTAATAATTTCCACTAGCTTGGGAGAACAGATAATCTGCTTCCTATAAATACAATAAACAGTGCTTCAAAGGACACAAAGTTTACTCAGTTCATCGTTTCAGTGATTTGAAATAAATGTAAAAAGAAAAGATGTCTAAAGCAAAATGTAGGATCCCGGGATAGAAGATCTCAGGCTGAGTCCCCTTTTTTGCTGCTGGTGACTTCTGTCATCTTAGACCTGTCGCTTTAACCTTCAGCCTGGGTGCATTTGTCTGCCTCCATTAAGTAGATAGTTAAAACCTTTTATAGGGCTCTTACGGTACTGTGTACTGTACAGTCTGTACAGTGCCTGGCAATAAACTAGGTCCTGATCTCATCTGTGCCCTCGCTCTGGGTGACTGGAAAATGAGTGACAAAAAATAATAATAAGCTCTGAATAATTATGTATTGTCTTCATAGTGAAGCAGGCCCTGAGCACCTTCTCTCAGCAGAACTTTCCACTGGGAGAAGTCCCATTTAAAACATCTCCCTGGCATAAAAATGAATCGGATCCTGTCACATGAATGGCCTGCATTTACTATTCCTTTCACTTACCTTCCAGTCGTTCATTTTCAGAGCTGACTTGTGCCTGTTCCCTGGTTGTCAGCAGGAACTGGGTAACAAGAACTTGCTGGAAGTGGATTATAAAACAGACAAACACACAGAGGAAGCACTGCTGACTCAGCAGATGCATTACTGCAACCATGATGTAAAACTATCAAAAAACAAAATGAAAGTTCTAAATGCCTCACAATTCACAACAAAAAAAAGCAAGGGAGAAAAGTGAAATAAGGATTTTGACCAGTGCTAAGGAATTTGGAGCCACACTGGCTTTTGAGATCATAAGAAATTAAGGATGGGTCCGGGTAGAATTCTTGGTCTGTCTGAGCAGCAGATGTTCTCCTTCCTGTAACTGTTGCAGCATCAAGCACTGCATCCATGATCTGTATAAAGGCAGCACTTAGACTGCCCTGATTACAAGGACCACTCCATTACAGCCAAGAAAATCAGTCAGCATCTCAGCTTTAGGATACTGAAAATATTTGGGGAGTTCAGGAGAACACTTCTCCCAAGCTCCCAACAGCTCTAAGTGTGATACCAGGGAGGCTTGTTTCATCTGGAAGATGGGGAAGGTATGTGCTGCCTAGACTTTGAAGCTCTTAGAAAAGGTAATAGTTCATACCTGCTGCTTGTCCCAGGTATGGTGCATCTCCTCCAGGGAGATGGAGCAAAACAGAATAGGGCAGATGCAGAAACACCACTGGTAACCTCAGGGATGTTTTGGTGGGAAAAATGGGATATTGTGGGAAAAATTTGCTGGCCACTAAGCACCCTGAAGCAACTGTTGCAACATTAAAGCAGTTTCTGTGTGGCTTTAAGACATCTGCTCTAAGGAAGCATCTGTGATTGCAACTGCATCTTCTTAACTCTCCGATTCCCATGGACCAGCAGTTGCCTTGCTAAATGAAATGCTCCTTTAGGGATACTGGCTGGCCCCAGGGTTCAGTAATGCAATATAGTGCCTTTCATCTCTCACCCATGAACCCAAGTCAAACAGAGTTTGGTAAATGGCCAATAACCCTTCCGATCCCAGGGGCTGTTTGGTGACCTGTGTGAAACGAGGAGGGTCATCTCTGTGTCTGTTTACAAGAAGGCAAGTGTCAACTTCACCATAAAAAGGGACACAGTTACTACTCATTATCACCCAATTTAACATTCTGAAGCCAAAAGAATGAGCCTAGAAAACTCCCCGATCTTCTTACCCTACAGTGGTGAATGATGGTGTACAAGGTCAGTACATCAGGGCTTGAAGAACGTTAATGAAGACAGTTGCATTGTAGCAAACCAGGCTGTGCCCCTCCTGTGGACAAGAAATCCAAGTCTGAGCTACTCACAGAGGTGTGTGATTGCAGTTCTCCCCAAATCTATGTGGAAATCCCCAGGAAAAATGGTTAATATTTAGGTGCAGCAGGCACTGAAGCACATCCGTGAAGTTACAAGGCTTCTGCAAATCTGTATTTAGTATCTTAAATAGACACAAGCAACCTGAAGAGGGATGCAGCATCCAGCACTGATAGAGTTAATGTGCCAAGAAATCCTTCACTGGAAGGCTCTGTTCCCTCACCCATCATGAGTATGCTGTTCTGGTTACCAAAATAGCTCTATTTGGAAGGGTTGAAGGCCAGAAGCTCGCTGCAGCACCCATTCTTGCACTGCACATTTTAAGGTCAGACCTTTAGCATCAGGAACCTGTTAGAAGAAAGAGGAATCGCTTTAAAAGTTTTTGCCACTCTGGACTTTACCCTGGAAGGTCTGAGAGGGGAAAGGGAAGGGCAGGGGCAGATAAACATTTGGCTACATGAAAATGGATCACATTCAATAGATCTGCCTAAAGCTCTGAAACCCGCCCAAAACTACAGACAGCTTGCTCTTAATCATAGCATTTCCAGTCACCACTATCATTCTGCAGCCCTGCTATGCCATAGCAATGATAACACAGTCACTGTCAACTGTGAGTTACTGTTTAATCCCTGCTATCTTGATTAATTGCATTAAATTGGTATACCTATGTTAATTAAACAGAGGCAGCTTTTACTCCTTATTCTTTTGTGTAGATCATTGCACACAGCTTCACAGGTTGGGAAAAAAATAGCACTATAGACACGTCATATTTCAGCTCAGCTGATAAAGCTGTTTTACTCGTAGAGTGGCCCATGATTTTCTTTTGCATATCACAGTATAAACTTAATTACCATGCTGCTGCTGCATGGCAGCTCCTCTCACTTTCTTTCTTTATTTGTATTATTTGCAAGCGGTAATCATGTTTTCCTGTCATCCCCAAGCAATGTGCATGCGTGCGTACAGGCAAATGCCAAGCCTGGAAAGGAAATCTGATGCGTGTCCATGAATTGGAGTTTTCAAACTTTGGCTGAAGATTAGTACATGTAAACATAGCTCTGCCCCCTTCATCTTGGGTAATTGGTCACAAATGCTACTTGACACTTCTCAAATCAGACACTTTACATACTTCTGAGCATAGCTGAACTTTTTTGGCAGGAATTAATTTTCTTTGCAACTCAGCCACTCATTCCTGGCCCAATCCCTACTCCAGTGATTTCAGTGCAATGTTCTGCCAGTGCAAGAAGTGTAGAGGCAGGACCAGATCTGTTTGCTAGTGTAGACGAGCCCGGCTTTGTTGATTCCCTCAGAAACACAATTACTGCAGCTAATGTTCTGCCCTTTGCCAGCCCTGATTAAGTGGGATTTTTACCTTCAGGTCCCTCTCTCTATTCCAATTACTGCACAAGTTACACTGCGCCAGGGGATATCTCAGAAAGATGAAGAAGGCAATGTAGCATCATAAGAAAATACAGCTCCTGACACACCAGGACCCTTCCCAGCAGCATCAGCCATATGGGAGATGGCTCCAGACACCATCCACCCCCAAAAGAGATTCCTTCCACCTCTCCTGTAAGCAGTGCGTGCTGCAGCAGAGAAGGGGAATCCATTCCTGAAGTACTGATGAAGTCTGAAGTTGCCGCAGAATTTCATGCTATTAAAAAGCCTCCTGTTTGCTCTGACATTGCTGTGTGTTTACTCACCATGCAGGAGTACTGCAAGAGCTGAGCAGACCATATGTTCACTTAGAAGGGCTGCCAGGTCTCAGGGAGCATTACTGCGCCTATTCCAGGAGGAGTTTGGGGCAAGAGCATGTTCCATAAAGGTTTTCACTCAGAATATTATATTTTATCTGGTGATTTATTTCTGTCCAGCCTCTGGACTGAATGGCAGTTTACCAGCATATCCATGTGCATCTGTGAATAACCAGTGGAAAATATCATTCACCCTTTTTTCACTGGGATGTTGATAAGCTGCAGCATATTAAAAATGTTTGTCAGTTTATTCTTTTCAGCCATCAAGCGGGATGTGTGCCAGCATACCCTCTTCATGCTGGCTGCTTCATCCAGAAAATGCAGAGAAAATGATGAAACAATGTCAGTTCTAGAAGAGGGTGAAGGTTCACATGCATTATTTTAGCATGTTTGTCTCGCTCATCACCAGCACTGTAAATCAGATTGAGCTCCTACCTGCAGGAGCTTCAGATATAGACCATGAGAAGAGAAAATACCTGGTCATGGACTCATGTTGCCTTGGTTCTCAGGGCTTCACACAGCTCAAAGCACTGATGAGGAGGAGCCAGGACAGGAATGATCCTTACAATGATCCTCCATCCTCTGGTAGCTTGTGCCATGACAGAGATGAACCAGTGGCAGTCAGGGAACCAGCATCTCTCTGTATGTGTGGTTCCCACACTTTCCAGTCATGGTCTTGTGATGCTTCATTCCTAGAAAAGAAAGATAGCTGGTGTTACAAGAGATATGGCACTTCACTGTGAAGAAGCAAATGCACTATTGCCCATAAAATTGCCATGGAATAACACAGGAGAAGAAATTGCGTGCTAGTATGTCCTGGGTTTTCATAGATTTTTATCTTAAATTAAACAGATGGAGACATATCCTGCTTCCTCCTGTTTAACTCTGATATTGGAACCATTATGGGAGTGATATTTATAGGTGAACAAGACACCAATTGGCAGAGAGATGCAACATAGCTCTAAAGCCAGAGTTAAGGAGGAGGCTTACTTTCCATTGTTATTATATATCACTATATAAATTTAGCTTTCAGGTCCTAGACATTTTAAAATAACATGTCTAGTGTTAGAATAGAGGAGTATCAGCAAAAGTGAATTACAGGTTACAGTCTTCTAGTACTCGCAGTGAAAGAACTGTTGTCGTAATTACACCTATAGAGTACTCATTTATGTTGTTCTTAGAGGAAAAGGATGGTATACTCAGGATGTATAGAAAGAAAATCTTGCAGAAGGGGAGACAAATAATTTAGCTGGGACAAAGAACTACGATGGCAACTCAACACATTTCTGTTTTCAGCACATGAGCTCACTGTGTGGACCTGCAATGCCCAGTGATTTAGAGGAAACCACTACAGGTCACTGACGTCTGATCCAAGTGGGAACAAATCCCAGCCCACAGAAAGGCCTGGCCTCACCACACAGACCCAAGACTGGGAGCTGGATACCTTTTTGTACCACTGAACATCTCCATAGTCTTTTCTAGGTGAGAAAGCAAACTGTTTGAACAACTCCATAAACTCGATACTTAAAATCCTTCCACACTACCAAAACAGTCAAACCCTAGCTCCTGAACATTTGAAATGATGCTAAAATAAGGAAAAAAATATATATATATATTTTTTCAGGGGAAAGGTGAATCTCCATTTCGGCTCATTATTTTGTGGTTGGGGCTAAGTGGCTGTTATTAGTACATAGGTACTCACTGTTGTAAATCCACACCTTTGCCTACTGGATGTCATTACTGAAAGTGAGTGAACTGTTGCTTCAGTGGCTAAAGATTTACTTGCTTAATGCCTGGTCTCATCAGCAAATTCAGGCTGGCAATGACATCCTACTTGTCTAAGCTAATATACAGCTTTGCACTCTCCTTGGTTTTCTTCCCATTCAAACTTATGGCTTAGTGATAATGTCTACCACTAACTGACATTAGCTGAAGTGAATGAAATGATGAATGAATACACAGTTTTGCATGTAGATAATTAGAAGTCCAACTGAGTAAATCACATTATTTAATGTATCATCATTAAAAAGCATCTAAACAATATTATTTCTTATATAACTCTGTCTTTTCAGTGCTGTGACAACAGGCATGAATTGTGTTATGCATTCGGGTAGAGAATTGTTTTCTAAATATGATAGAACTACTTGGAGCGTAAATCATTGCTGTAAGGTGTCCATATTTGAGAAAACTCTTGTGTTATGGGTAAAACTCCTTGCTTGACTGTGCTGCAAGAAACAGGATGATATTTAATTATGACAGTTCAAACTCATCTGGTTTCTCCAAGTGCAGCCTATATTGATTTACAGTACTAATAGAGAAAAGGTGGAATAAAAAAGCTGGTTTATTTAGAAACTTACTCATTCCTAAGAATGTCTGTTCAGCTCATTTTTGAATTTGATTTCTTACCCCAGGTGAATTACACTGCGTTTCAAGAACTGCTTGTGCCTGATAACAGCTAGTCGAAGTACCAGCATAGTTAGGTCACTTTGATTGTGGGATTTTTATTTATTGCTTTATTGGACAATGGTGTTTGCAAAAGGAAGATTGAGAGCACCATGGGCAGAATTACAGGCTATGGTTAGTGTATGAGACTTAATATCAGTATAGGACCACAGTCGGTAAAATCAGTGGCAAATGAAACCAGCTTTCAGGCATAATCAATGTCTTGTCCTGAAAGAAACAGCAAGGAAAATCCATGCAAGTGTTTCAGCATGACAAATGAACTTAGGCAAGTTGAAGATAATCATGATTATTTAATATTCCACAGCTTTACAACTCGATACTTTGTGGACAAAAGATCAGAAGGCTGCTGAGTCCAGAGTTTTGAATCTTTGGGTCAATATGCTTCTCATGTCTTCAGCATTTAGTTTAATTTAGGAGGAAACAGTTCCAAGCTAAGATAAGATCTCAAACAAAATTGACGTGGACTTACAACATGGCCTAACATAACAATTTAATCTATCCTGTGCTTCCCCTGAAAGAAGGCTTAATAACTGCGCTATGATTTCACCTGCTGCTTCTAACATTTGTTCATTCTTTCTTCCTGAACAAATTTGGATTATCAAATGGTGAGCAGCTTTGTTCATGGTAGGCAAACTTGAATTCATTCAGGATTAATAACAATGGGTTCAATCCTGGATTCAATGGCAGTCTTAATGAATGGAGTCTTTGGAAGACAAATGTTTGTTTGCGTTAAAGAGAAATACTTAATTCTCAGTTTTCCTGGGTGCGGGGTGATTACAGCACATATCACAAAATGTTTCCCCTATATATTCAGCCTTCCTTGGGTGAACAAAGAGCAGAAACGTTCCCCAAGCCCTGCTATTGCAGATAGTGGCCATTCTGACCTTGCTATTTCAAAATATGAAGTTTCACAGTGAATTATTTGGTGTGAGGAAAAAACGTGTCTTTTACTCACAGTATTATCTCAGGCCCTCTTGGTGATCTGGTGCTGGGGAGTAAGGAGACAGGAAGATCCACGTTGCCACTATCCATCAGCAGTTGTAGGTTGAGACAGGACTACCCAGGTGGAGGAATCCAGGCTGGATCTGGATTTGGGCTCAATCCTCACCATTGTCTTAAACACGGGCATCTTCCAAATTCCTGTGGGAAATCCTGCATTCTTTACCACTTTCCTGTCTCTTGGGAAGCAACAGGAGCACACACCACCCCTGTGCCTGGCCAGGGAGGAGCTGATGGAGCTGCACTGCCCAAAACCAAGGACCCACTCATCTCAATATAAACTGCCAGACTTCAGTAAATTCACCCTGCAGGCAATTTTACCCTGGAAAAACATCGCCCACGTTGCTAGAGTTTAGGACAACAAATTAGAGCTTTTCATACGCATTGGAAGCTTTTCTTTTTCCTGCACACCCCCCCCCCCCCCTTTTTTTCCCCCAGTAACATCCAGTTGCTTAATTCCATTTGAAATCACCCTGGGTAGGCACCTAAATACCTAAATAATCTTGTCCTTCATGCCTGTCAACATCTTGAGGCACCTAACCACCTTTAGAGATGTGGTGTGAAAGCTTGTGAACGATGCAATCGAGGAGGGAAACAAAAGACAAGTATCCCTATTTGCTGCCCAAGAATCCACAAAGAATGCTGCTTCGGCTCTGCTCTGATTTCTAATTAGATTATGAGTGATGTAGGACTCTGAAGCCAAGCTGGAGTTTGTGCTAGCACTTTGCATCTATGAATGACAAAGGGACACCACTTTCATATTGATTTAAGCAAGCCAGTAGAAGAATGTTTAAACACCAAGCGCTTGATGCCCCAGCTTGCCAGAGCACCTGGAAATATCAGATTAATTCCAGGTGTTGTGCCATTTATGACAGGCTTGCTGCTTTTACAGCCACACACACAAAACGTGGCTCCCAGTTCCACAAATAAAAACGGAGTGGTTTCTGCTCCTAATGCCTCGATAACTCTGACATATTGCAAGTTCTGGAAAGAATTTTAATCTACATAGTTTTTTTAATGGGGAGGGGAATGGGGGGGCGGGGAGGAGGGATTTTAAATATGCTGCATACAATTTGTGATGGTCATCTCTAAAATGCAGCTCCATTATCCTTTTCCATTTGGAATGAATGAGGCTAATTAATTTCAGGCCATACTTGATGAGGTCAGCACCATACGAAGGGTGCGTGCTAGACATTGCTAATCTCTTTCAGCTGAGAGTGATGAATTAAAGATGAAGCATTCCTTTGCAGGCCTAATTTAGAATGTATATCAAAAACCTACAGCAAATAATACTATACCCTACAACAAAGGAAAACTTGTTCTCTCAGGCTCCCATGTAGGGTTGATTTTAAAGGCATTTTCATTTCGCTTTGGAATTCCAGCTGTGGATGGGTGAAACAGTTCAGAAAATTCAAGCTTTCTCTCTTTCTCTTGCTTTTATGGACAAAAGTAGGCAAGGGAGGGGGGCTAAGGGGAGAGAGAAACTAGTCAGTGTTTGATCCTGTATATACTGTGATTCTGACTGTACGCTAGACACTTAGGAAAGCTGCCAGGGTCTTGTGCTCCCCAAATACCTGTGATGTGACACCCCCACACAGCGCACACTGAAATCTTACTGTCTGGGGGGTTCTTTTAAGTCTAAGGGTAAAGCTATCGAGTGTCCCGTTTTGTTTAGCATCACCTCAAGGATGTTTTGTTGCATGTCTCAGACTTTTCCCCAGGAAACGGGACAGGTCCAGGTCACCCAACAAGGACACAAGAGCTTCCCAGCCAACACAGAGCTGTATTTCACTGCAGGGAAAACACTGCCCTATGCAAAAAGGTCCTGTGCCGTATAGGAGCACAGGTAGCAAAATTTAACAGAAATAGTCACCAAAAGCAGCCACACCAGGTCTGGAAGCAGAACAAATCACTACGGGGCTCTCAGATTTGCTGGACTTGGGGCTCAGCCAAACTTTGCCACCTCTCCCTTAGGCAAAGCCCCCCATAAAGTCCAGAGGGGCTTCCCCCTGAACAGGATTTGGTCCTGTGGGCAGCAAGAAATTAACCTTAATTGTCATTTTGGGAAAACAGGGACTATGAAACCTTAATCCAGCCTCGGAAGGAGGCTGAAAACAATAGACCACCAGCTTCCCCATCACTTCTCTGCTTAATACCTGGCAGTCCCTTGAAATTCTTGACAGGTTGCTGCAGCGAGTCGAAGTTCCCAACTGGTGGCCATAAGCGGCTGCCGTCTTTGTATCCCAGTAGTCCTCATTAGAACAAAGCTGCTTCGAATTAAATCCAATCTACATGCCGAATCAATCTTTCAACCCTTTGATTGCTTCTGAAAATATTTATATTTCTTAATAATGCACATTTTGTCCCAGAGCCTGTGATTAAACCCAGACAAGGTCTGGAGAAGCCTGAAGTATATGTGGAAGGGGTTATTTTGGACAGGAAAAGAAAGATAAAGAACACAGGTTTTTCCTATTGTGAAACCATTAGAGTGTATAAATCTAGCAATTGCAGTTGTATAAGCATCAGAGTGGGGTTGTAATAAATACAGATTGGAGTATTATAGTAACCAAATGGAGTTTATGGATTATGTTCGCTAGTTCATATTTCTCAGCTACTACAATCTAACTAGCATCACACCGCACTCAGCTCTATTAATATTCTCTATTAATATTCTCTTTATATGGGGGGGGGGGGGGGGGAAGTTAGGAATCAACTGCTGCTCTGTGTAAAACAAACATGTTTAACGAATCATGCCCTCCAAAGGAAAAAATAAACAAGGGGACGCTGTAAAGTGACTGTGTTGGAAGGGCACGGGCTGTGGCTGGCTGAAATCGGCTCTGTTCTGCTAAAGTTAATAACTTCCATCTGAGTAAGAATCTGGCCCTAATACAGGGCATTTTGGTGTGTGAAAATTAGGATGTAAAACTGGAGACAATAACTGCTACTATCCCTCACCCGGGTAAATTTATGAGGTGGTAAATAATAAGCTTTTGGCTGGAGATGAGAAACACACAAAGGCTTTGAAGCTGCACTTTGTGGTAAATAGCGTATTATTCCCTCCTCAAAAAGTAGCATACATCACAGGTAAGATATGTGGAGGTGAAGGGAAGGATACATTCCTGGGCTGAGAAGCAGCCCAGATAGGGCCCGATCCTCCAGAGTGGGAATTTGCCATCGATTAAGAAGGGAGCTGTGGCTGGGGACACAGATCTGATAAAGGCACTGTACCTGTCTCCCTCCCTAAACATAAATGACTGCCCTTGTCTATAATAAAAGGTAAAAATTGACTTCTGAAAATACGCCACGATAAATCTCCTTGGATAAAGTAGCACAATGCCTGGGTAAGAGGGAAAGAAATCCTAGAAACTAAAGATAGAGGATGCTTATTTAATATCATTGTCATCATCAACATCACACAGTAAGTACAGGTAATGTACTTCAGCAGCAGGATGGTAAATGTTTATGATAGTTTTTCTTGTGACAGTTTCCCCTCTTATAAAGGATAGAAGGAAATATTCTCAGTTAACATATTATTCATTGATTCTTTCATCGCATGTTTCATTATGTTAAGCTGTAATTTCATAAATAAGTTGGGGGGTGGTATTATTATGATACATAAATCCTGAGTCTTGACAGCTATTCTGCATTTGTATGTGATCTTGGATGCTCAGTCTTTAAGGTAGAGAGAAGTTTTTTTATCATCACCAAAAATAAGGGGAGAGGAGGGATGAAAGAAAAACCTCTCACAAATAGGGACAGATCCAAAATTCAATGACATGCACAAAAATCCATTTTGGATCAGGCCCCCAGCAGAACATTGTATCATATAACCAGTATTTTCTGAATATTTCTATTGTTTGACAACTCAGATTTCACACTAAACTTGGAGTTTGTTTCTGAACAGAAGCTTTTTGTATAGAAACTTTAAATCATATCCCTTCATGAACACACACATACCACAGAGGATTTTGCCTTATTAAAGAGTTTAAGCCTAAAGGTGTATGCCTATTTTTAAAAGAAATTTTCTGATTGTAGATAACTGCTCAATTTGATTTAGTGTCCAATGATAGTGATGGGGTTGATAACTGAGCATTCATCGGTAATTCATCTTGTGCTAGTAGAAATTTACAGCAAAGCAGTGCTTTCCCAACACTGACAAGTCCTATTAATCTTCTTCAGACACATTTCAATAGGTGTCTCCATCTGTGCCCAACATCTAAACACTCTGGCATCACTAGGGACTTGGAGACACCTTCATTTCAGGTTACACTAGTGAAAATGTGATACTAGATTGTACTCTATTTTTAACCTAATTCTCTCTTTTCATTCAATTAGCCTTTCTCGCCTGCTTTTTTCTACTCATGTGTAACATCCTTTTCCCAGGAAGAGCTTAAAAATTAGATTTAGTTACTTAAAGAGACAGAATCTGCCAGAGCAGGGGCAACCAAGAGCTTAATACATCAAAGCAGAATAATAAAGCTCATGCATAACGGTGTGGACACCGAGTCACCAGCCACAGAACACATCCTGCATCACATGCCCCCGATATTCCGCTCCTGATGCACCTCATGCAGGCATTGTTTGGTTAGGACAGGTCTGAAACTAAACACCCCACCTCCAGCTTCCCAGATTGCAGAGCATTTGGGGGTTGAAATCCAGTATGTACCAAAACATCTCTGTTTGTTCAGGCTGCACGGGGATCACCACCATACATCCCCACTTCGCGTTACATATACGGCTAATGCATGAACAAACACAGCACAGTCAAATTACAGCAATAACATTTATGGGTGGATTATGTTCCAACTTCCTCGCTTATTATTAAAGGCAAGTAAATTGCAAAGCACATGGAAGAGGTAGGGTGCAAACGCAGGCGAATTTCCACTCGGAACCAAATGTTGTTTTTTCACTCCCAAAGCTGCGATGAGTTTGCTAGCAGACGCAGCGCAGCTTTCGAGCTTACTCATTCAAAAACGTGTGTTTGGGTTCTTTTTTTTCCCTCTCCCCTCCTTACTCCATTTACGTTTGCCTTCCAAAGGAGAGCAGATGCACACCACTTGGGTTTGGGTAGCTCTTACTGGCTCTGAACTTTCTGCTGAAAAGAGCAAACCACGTTCTGCTCCACAACTCGGAGGCAGCCTCAAACTTTGTTTCTGGCTTTATGAAGTTCTCTTGCGAGTCGTATTATAGATCTAAATGACCTTATTGTAGGTGGCAAGTTTAAATGTGCCATATTAATAACTTGTTATCCAAGACAAATTAAGTCCTTATGTGTCAAAAGCACTCTGCTCTGGATTACCTACAAGACAAGTATTTATTGAATAAACGTTGGATCCAATTTCATTTTAATGTGACTGACTGTATGCTTCAGCCCCTTAGAATGAGATAAAAACACTCAAACCTACAACTGTTTTGCAACATTACACCTAACTTGTCTGTTTCTATTATTGTCTTTTTAATGTGGGAGATCAAAAGTGTTTGGGGTTTTTAAGGATTTTTTTATTATTATTATTGTTATTATTATTAAGAGCAAAGAGAAAGACAGGAAAAAAAAGACTGGCATTCAGCCTAAAGAGAAATCATTGAAACAAATTAATCCTATGCCGTTTAAATTGACATGGTAATCCATCATCAGCAAAGGGAAACTCTGAAAGCAATCTAGAATCTGCAGTGTTCTTTCACTGGCCCTCAGGCACAAAGACAGATAGTAAAAGAGGAAGAGAGGAGGGGGGGAGAGAAAAAGCATAAAAGTTAGCAGCACCTTAGCAAAAGGAAGGGCTCGAGAGAGCAGCTTTCACTTCTTCCTGCTTTCAACCCTCCAGTTCAGAAAGCAATGCTGATTAACCTTCAGCCGTTGCCTACTAACGTTTACTTCTGTATGTCAACTCATCCTCGGCTGCTGAGAGATGAGTAATTTCGAATAGCGCAGAGCCCCCATCCTATATAAACTCTACCATTGAAAACTCTGCCAAACATCAACTTGGGCACTTCTGCTTACAGAGGGCCTTTTATTAGCCTAAACTTGATCGTTCCAAATGGACAATAAATTCTATCTTCACAGCCCTAGAGAAAAGAGTTGTGCTATCCTTGGGAGTTTAATAGCCAGGATTTTCATAGAGCTAGCATAAAAAACCTGGGGGTTTTATTTGGGTTTGGGGTTTGTTGTTTTTTTTTCCCCTATTTCCTGCTCTCTCAGCAGGGCTGTCCACTGTAATGTGTGTTTCCTAAGGGTTTTTTCAACCTAGTTTTAAATATCTAAAGTGATGAGACTTTGTGCACCTTTAAAATTTTATTATACTTATGGTCAGAAGAAAACATAAACCTCTTGGGCCTTGAAAGCGCATTGCAATACAGCCATTATCCTTATAATGTCAACAGAGCTACAAAATTCTCCTGAAATAAACCTTTTCAGAACAGCTTTCCCTGCTTCATGTTTTCTTTTAAGGTCAGTGGTGCATCACTTTTAGCAAAACGTTTCCCCTCTCTGCCCAGATTTAGCAATCTGCAATAGAATGTATATTACTAAATGAATAGGTTTAATTTTAGGCGCTGAAAAAATAAATAGAAGAAGAGGGCTAGGGCAGGAATAATACCTTTCAGTTAGAAGCAGACATAGTGGAAAGAAAAAGTCAGAACTTTAGTGCCAGGGGCAAAAGGGTGAAAGGCTGGCTAATATGAACCATATCCAACATCTGCCCTATTTTAATTTAGCAGGGATAAAGTTTCTTCTTTTTTATTATTAAGAAAACTTTATGTGGCAGGGAAACCCATGAGCTATGTTATCAAAACTGGTTTATTGTCACACTGAAACTTAGAACTGTTAAGAATTGGTGGGGCAAAGAGATAAAAACTCCCCTTCTCTCTCCTTTTATACTCTGTGACAAGCCTGGGATCGGGTCCTGCTGTCTGGGATGTCCTTTTCATGTCTTTATGAAGTACTGTGCTTGGGGCTGTAATATAAAGACGAGGTTAATTGTTCAGGATGGGTCCAAATGATTGATTCTGCAGGTTTTAAAAAGAAACAAAAAAAAAATCTGAAGATTTAAACCAAAATCCTGCTGCAGAGACGTTTGCGGTAGTCACCCTCGGAGATGGGCGATGCTGGTGGTGTACAACAAGTGTAAAGAAGGGCTGGACTGGGTCGCTCTATGAGAAACAGCCCAAATTACCAGGCTGGAACATGATCTCTCTCCATTTAAAAGTTTTCCACCTCGATAGTGCAAATTCTACTATAAAAAAACAGCTAAAGTATACTAAACCACATGTGAGTAGCTGTAGGAATAAGAGAGCAAATTGGTTTCTGACAAAAGAAGGATGAATACCTTTGGATAATCTCAAGTTAGATTTTGATTGAAAGCATAACATTCCTTTAAGCATCAATATGCTTAGGATCCAAAATATGGTTATTTTATTACCAGTTAATACTTAGATCAAAGCAAAACACTGTAGCTGGAAGGGACGTTCTCTCTGGAAATAAAGTTCCATGTAATTATTTCCTATTAAAAACTAAAACTGGTCTTAGACTCAGAAAACTGGGCTTCCTTACATTTGATATAATGCAAGCTTGTCAAGAGAGAGCAGACGTGCCATTTTTTACTGTTTGCTGGTATCCCTTGGCTTTAAAGTTTTCAGTTTAGCTTTAACCCTTTGAATGGGAAAAAAATCTCATCCAATTTGCCTCAGCCAAACACAGGGATTGTTTTGGATAATATTGGCTAATTTCCGATACACAGAAATTAGCATTTGCTAGAAACTAACACCATTTTAAATAAAGTCTCCAAGTGCAAGGAGATAAAATACAAAGGAAATGATACGGCAATTGATAGGCAGTTGAAACTTAAACATCAAATTGTAAACAAGGGGTTTACTCTTGGGTAAAACAGCTCATCTCAATTCAATTCGGGACACAGACTTTAAAATATGCAATCAAAATACATCCAAGAAAGCTGCAACCTTTCAGAGGAGAGAGATAAGAATGTATTTTAATTATAAGGTTATAAATATGCGATCTATTTATTATTTCTTGTTACCATCTCCGAACACGGTACGTAACATTGTCCATATGCAGTTATATATCTGCCTGTGTCTATTCCTGTCCAGGGGTTTGGGTTTATATTCTTTTCTCTTCCCTGATAGTTCAATCTCTATTTATGTCATGTCTGAGGCAGGCCCTGGAAAAAAAAAGAATCTATCTTTCTGTATTTATAAACTGCTGCAGAATAAATAGGGAATGGTTCTTTTTTACAACTGATGGGCTAGTGTTATAAGTAGCAATATGAAATATTTAGACACATTATTTCAAGCTTTCCGGCTGCTTCTGATTCTGCTAATTACTTTTGATCTGTCACTCAGAAATAATAAAAAAACCCACCACTTTAAAGAGTTCATTAGGACTGCAGAAAGGAAGAAGAGTCAGATATAAGGCAGCAATTATAATTTGGTTTTAACATATTTTTCCCTTTCTGCTGACTCCTCAGCTATATTGTTTAGCAGAAGGATGGCTACAGTATAATTCTATATGAAAACCTTGTTAAATAGGGAAGGAGCTGAGACATTCAGCTGGGATATTGTTTGCTAGCTCAATGAGTATCTGAAGAATTTGAAAGTACAATAAATGTATCTGAAGATCATATTTAAACATACTTACCAAAAAGTACCCACCTCTCTCAGGAGTTCGCGTATTTCTGCCTTCTAACTGGGAGAAGGGAAAAAGAACAACCACAAAAAAAGGCAGTTTGGATGTACAGGTTAAGATTGGCGTATGGCAAGGCTTGTGTGAAATACAAAGAAATCTGTATTTCACTCAACAATTTCATTGCTAAAACACATAGTTTACAAGCATCTTTTCTTTAAACATACGGTTCAATAACATTTTCTTCAAAGGAACAATTCAACGTGTTAAAAGATTTAAGGACAAAGAATGTGCTGCAAAATGCAAATCCTTACAGTGTTAATACTGTGTATGCAATTATGTATGTAGGCAGATAGATATAATTTGAGAGTTATTAACTTTCAGCATCCGTGATGTACCCTGAATCAATACAATATAACTACCTATTAAAACATAAACCAAATGTGTTACCAGGCAAACACACTCCGAGAAGCTTTTCTACATTATTTTTTCCTCTTTAAAGATTACAGCTCTACCATGGGCAAGAAGCTCAAGAGATTGCTGCTGGTCCTAAAGATGGAGGTTGCTCTGCTTTCTGCAATAGCTGACGTTTCTAGAATGTTTCATTTCCTCCACGTTTGGCAAGAAAAATAATTATTTGAAAATACAATAAAATAACTCTGAAACGGTATAAAGGGAATGAATTGTCTCACAAATCCCGTGCGCTTATGAACCTCCTAGCGCATGGGAGAGAGGAAAGTTCCCTTTCCATTTTTCCTTTGGCTCAAAGGAGGCGAATGAAGGGAGCACAAATCAGTTTAAGCCTTTTCCCACCACCACCCCAAGTCGGATCGATCCCTCTTGCAACCCCTTTATCCTGACCTCCCTCCCCCAAACGCATCTCAGCGCCGTTCACCTTGGGCCAGCCCCGGGCAGGGAAGGGTTAATGCAGCCAAGCTCTTTGCGACCTCCAGGGTCAGACTCTTCCTATCTGCAATCTAAGGAATTAGGTAAGGAGGTTATAAGATTATAGTGAAAGGAGTTATAGGCCCTCGTAGCCTCACACCTGAACATATTGGGCTAATCCACTGGGATTCTTAAAAATCGCTTCAGCTATGGAAAACTGTTAATTAGGCTGAGTCTATCCCGAGGTTTCCTGTTGCACTGGTGATCCAGCCGAGCTGCCTGCACTCTATAGGTTCACATGAAATGCTCTTAATATGCCTATTTTATTTTTTTCCCTCCCTTCTCCACCACTAAACCCAGCATCAGTCACTGACTTCGGGGCGGGGGGGAGGGGAAAGGCAAATCTGGGGTGAAATTCAACCCAAGAGATGCACAAAAGTCATTTTTCCCCTCCGGTCCCTGAGCCCTGGGTGCCCGGCAAGGCTATTTGCAGCTGTTTCCAACTTCAGTGTTTGTTTACAGTAGCAAAATTAGCACTTAGAGGAGAAGTGAAAAGCTGCTTTCACATCAGTTGTACTCCTCGGTTCCTAGCTTTAGATGCCTTCCCTCGCTCCCAGCCATCAGCATCACTTAAAAGTGCGGCTCAAACTTTCCCTCTCGCTCTTTGGACTTAGTTCTCTGCAGCCGCATCCTATTTTCTGCTAAAGAAAAGCACGCAGAGAGAAGGTAGCGTTTGAGCACGGCCCAAACATCAGTGACTAGAGGAAAAACAATGGAATAATAATAATAATAACCCCGAGCATCTCTTAAAGAACATGTTTTAACGTCGCTTGGCAAAGCCCTGCCCTGCTCCCAGCTTTATGCCCTTTGGCACTGAGACATTTGCTTGTCTCCAGCAAAGTTTTGTTTAATCCGCCGAGACAGCCCAGGGCTGTACCTGAGCCACGGCTGAATTGCTCCCTACGACCGATGAAATCCTGCAGCAGCAACTCCCCAACTCCAATACTTAATGCACGGGTTGGTTTTAGCCATTTTTTTGCCATTTGCGGAAACGCTGATTATATTTTTTTTTTTTATGCCATTTGTGGTCACCCTCGAATGGCAGTAATCTGTAGATTACATATTACGAGCCTTGTCATTACGTGGATAAAATGAGGTGGTTAAACGCTAAAATCCATTTTACTCACCACATTTGCTTGGGGAGAGTGTTAGGGGGGAGAACAAACTTACAGGAGAAGGATTTAAAGTCCTCGCACCTGAGGTGGATGTGCCCTCGCTTCTGCTGCTTAGAGACCTCCCTGCCTGGTGGGCACCGGGCTGGAGACCCCCCAAACTTCACTTCGAAGCCCGTGTACTCCAGCCCTCGCCTTCCCCTCGAGGCTTTTGTCCCCATTTTCGTGGTGTCTCAGCATTGCTCCACAGAGCCGACTTTGCTGTGCCTCCCCTGGGTTTGCTCTGTAGCATTTCTAGGCTCCCACTCGCCAGCTCTCCCCCCGTTTGCCTCTTTCATGTGTGTCCCTGATCGCTCTCCAGCTGATGTGGTTCTCTAGAAATGTGGGTCTTATCCCGTCACTACCTTTGCCGGGACTGATTAGATATTATTTTTTCATTGGCTCTGCTACAATGGGTTCCTCCCTTTAATCTCTCGATATATTTTCCCCCTCCCGGTATAACCAAATCCATGAAATTCGCAGCCTCTCTCTTTGACACGACTGGCTCGTCTAATCACTCCATATCGATTTCCCTAACTCTTTTCATCCAGCTGAAGACACATCTTAAAACACTCCAAGCCAGAGTGTGCTCTTTGCTTTATACACACTAATAAAATGATTTACCCTTTTCTCTCTGCTCTCCTCACAGGAGAAAATCGTTCAAGCCGCGGCTATTTGTGTGTGATCAGTAAATATTTAGTGTGGCGACATCTTCAGCTCCTCTCCTGATCAATACCCAACCCAACAGGAGGTGGACTATTGTCCGGGTAGTGACTTGCTGAGATCTCCTTTAGATGAATTCTTTGCCCCCATACAGTCTGTTATGATTTATCCTAGAAGGGTAACCAGTAAAGAGAAATTGAGGCTTTATAAACGGCCGTTTCTAACCTGTCTACCGTGACATTAAAGCACCTAAGCTAGGAATGGGTTATTCCTCCTCGTCTCCCTTATCCCTTTGATGGGCTAACACAGCTCTGAGTATCACCCCGGGCAGTCGTCACCCCGCTGCTCCACACCCCCGGCCCCTCCAGCCAAGCCTAGTCCTGTCCCTGCTGTGCAATGTCACGATAAAGAGCCGATTCCCCGATTCCCTGCAGCATCTCCGGGCACCGGGCTCGTCCCAGGGCTCTGCCCCGGCGGTGGGTAATGCAGTGCCCGAGGATGGAGGGTGCCCCTGCGACTTCCAGCCCACCTCCCTCCTCCTCCTCGCATCCCGCTGTTCTCCCTGACCCAGGATCAGGGCTGAGGCAGAGCGATGGTGGGGGGGGGGCGGATATCGCCTTTTTTGTTTGTCTGTTTAGGAGGGAGTTTTTTGAACGACATGGAAAATCTACAGTGAGGGGAAAAAATATACCGATGGCAATGGAATATGAAACAGAGAGGAGCTTAAAGCCCGGTTCCTGTGGTTAACCATACACCAGAGCTTTCCCAGGGTGATAAAATGGTCAGAAAGAGAAGTTCCTCTGTGTGTGTGCGAGTGTATGTTTTATCCTGATCAGTTATTTCACTCCTGGGAAAGCCTCTGCCTCGAATAGGAAATATTTCCACATGTAATTACCCCAGGAGCGTGTGTTGTGTGCCCACTGGTCTCGGGTTAGGTGTCTGTGCAGCACACTCAGGCGAGACCGCTATGCCTTGGGTGCCTGATGCAGGGCTGGGTGCCTCTACACAATAGATACAGGGTTATATCTGGGGTGTGTTTGTGTGTGTGTTCTTCCTCACATCACGTCCTGGAGCCTACAGAAGTGCCCAGCTATTTATTTTATTTCCGTGTGTGTGCATTTGCACATAAGCTATGGGCTGAAGGCATTTATCTCTGTAAATGTACATTGCACGCATCCGTGCTGCATAAATATATGGCTGTGTGTTACAGATGTGCTACTGTTATTCAAATCTAAACCCAGCTACATCCACCTGTTAACTTTGTTTAGAAACCACTTCCACTAATGGCTTTTCCCTAACTTATTCAGTCCGTTACTCGAGTATAGGAGGCAATGGAGGGGAAAAATCCATATGAAACCCTGCTTACAGCCTCTCTTCGAGAGGACACTTTACACACCTTGCCTAGACAGGGCTCCTATAGAGCGCTTATCTCTCGAATATATCTTTATACTAATGCATACTTAATTGGTCTGTCTTGACTGTCCATATAAAACAATTTAATTAGGGTGCTTTCTGCTTTGGAAAGAAAGAAAGAAAGAAGAAGAAAAAAAATCTGCCCAGCATTTATTGTATTTAGCACCAATACAGGCAGAAAATGTTGCACAAGTTTTTGGTTGAAAGAGCACCTATGTGTCCATTGAAGGGCGTTGATCCGAAAAGACAGAGAGGACAAGTAAAATCGATTTGAAGCAACCCTCTCTGTCCCTTTCACACCATTCAGACACTCCATTCCTTCTAAGACAAAGACCCAGCGCCTTGGGAATGCTGGCAAGGGGGGGGAGAAAAAGGAGGAAAGGAAAAAAAAAGGAAAAAAAAAAAGAGGCTTCAATCCCCCCAAGCAAAAGGGAGAGCTCTGAAATTCCTTCATATTGCTGTTATTTACGCCCCAAGATATGTTCAACTCCAGCATTTTCTTCAATTCGGCGTCTAACACTGCTGCAGCAAGGAATGTCCCTGGAAGGGGAGGAGGTAATTATGGCTATTAGTGCTGCGAGCCCAGCCTCAACCTTGGTCACTAGCAGGCTTTTAGGGTTAAAATAGCCCTCACCTCTGACCCCTGCGGAGCAAAGTTGTAGCTATCGTCACAAGTTGGGCCAAAGTTTTCAAATCCAGGGCTGGGCAACACCGGAGGGGGGTGAAACTTCTCCCTGGAATTATTTTTGGTTGGGATTTAAATCATCTTTAGTCTATTTAATTGCCTTTCCCTCCTCCTCTTGCCAAACAATCCCTTTTTTTTTTTTTTTGGGGGGGGGGTGTTGTCGAAATGCCCTGCTCCCACTACCTTTCCCACTGCTCTTTCCATTTAGGTTTAATTTGGCAGATTGTTTTCAAGCATGAAAATGGTTATCATCAAACTGAATTACTAGGTTGTCTTTTCATCCACGGATCTCAAGACTTAAATGGGGGTCTGGGGTGTGGGGAGAGATGTCTCCCCTTTAGGCTTTCCACACCACGACCCGTTCAGCTTTACAGCAAAAAAAGAGGGTTTGGAAAAGGGGAGAAAGGCTGAAAAGCTTGAGTTGGTCTCTTGTGTTTCCTGTGCACCTTCACGATCCTCCTCTGCAAAGGGAGATTTTGGAAAGGAGAAGTTGGGGGGGGCAAACTGAGGAGGGGAGAGAGCCCACAGATGCAAGCACCCCTCTGGCAATAATAAAAATTCATTCAAGTGGGCTCTGTCTCCATCTTCCATGTACTGATTAGACTTAACAAGAGTGGAAACTTGTGTAGACCATATTTATGGTATTAACGAGCAGTTAAAAGATTTATCCTTCTTCTGATCAATATTGCCCGGGCCCGGCCCCCCCACCCCCGGCCCGGCCCTCCCCGAAGGCTGCGATGACGATCGTCTTCCTACTTTTTCATCATCGCGGATCGAGGTGGCAAAACCCTTTTGTAATTTTCATTAGCCCAGTAAACATGCAATTAACATGCAGCACTGTGGTTAACTTAATTCCTGTTTTAAGGCAAGGACAAGCAAGAAATGGAAGAGCGTTTGTTCCATTTGTCAAGTATGACACACTTCTTACCCTAACAGTTCCTTAAAATAAAAGCTCGGCTCCCCACCACCACGACCACCACCCCTCTTTCCAGAAACCCCCCACACTGATACACACACACACAAAAAGGAGCAGGAATCCATTAGTTGGAGAGTATTCTCCTGCCAAAGGCGGTATAATGTATTCCAAATTTTCCCAAGCCCTCACTGTACCGGGGTCCCGTCCCCCCCCACCCCACCCCGGAGAAAGGAGGGCTGATGAGCTGATATTTCTCCTAGGTTAAAGATTCAGCCTCCTCCTAACCATAATATATATATATATATAAATAAAATAGAACTAAACGTGCTTCCCATGTCTAAAAGTTGCCATGTTTGTGAAGGGGGTGGGGGGAAAAAAAAGTCTCCAAGGGTTTCAATTAGCAACAAATGATTATTGCAACGGATTTTTGGTAATGAAAAAATGTGGAGTACCTCTTGCGAGCTGGGATCTCAGGGGCAGTGAAAGAGAGAGAGAGGGGGAGAAAAGGAGAGAGAGAGAGAGAGAAAGAGATTGCTGATTAGCTCGGATTCTTTCCCAACTTGCTTTAGCGTGTGCTTGCGTTCCCTGCCGACCCTACACAGGACACTATATATTTTTTCCCCTCCGGTGCATGTGTTGATAGTTCAGCCTGTAGTTGTTTGCGGTTGGCTTTTTCTTTCTTTCCTTTTTTTTTTTCCCTCCTTCCTCTTTTTCCCCTTTTTTTTTTTTCCTGCCGGGAGGGGGTAGGTGGGAAAAGGAGGGGGTGAGGGGAGGGGGGGGGCTGAAATCGGTCGCATCTATCCTACCCCCACAGTCATTAAGTTAGAGATTTCCCTCTCTTATTATTTTCTTCCTCCCCAGTTGGAAGGGTGGGTTGTGAATATTCCCCCCCCCCCTTTTTTTTTTGTGAAGTCTCGCCTTTCCAGCTCCAAACAAGGTGTAGCGAGACGCTCTTCCTTCTAAGGAATGAAATGAGACAAGGATCACTCAAAGACATCTCCTACCTTGGGCTTGGGGATTTTTTCTTAAAGGCAAGGCGCACATTCCTAAGCAGCTGTGTACAAAGCCCCCCCACCCTCCACCCCCCCGAAATCTTGTCTGTGTAAAGTTAGAGTGTGTCCAGGATTTTTGTGGGGTGGTGGTTTTTTTCCTCTCTCCCAAGGCTGATCGCTAATAATACATCGAAAGCACTTCCCTTTAGGTTGTGGGAAATCTCTTCCCTTCACCTTGCCTCCTTTCTCCCCCCCCCCCCCCCCCCTTGAAGGCTGTAACTTTACTTTTTTTTTCTCTCTCTCCCTTTTTCTTTTTTTTTTTTTTTATCAGTTTGCACAATCGCTTAGATAAACACCAAGAAGGAGACTTCTCTTTAATTACCCAACGCACATCTTTCTGGGGGGCAAACAGCGGTCTGATTATTTTTTTGTTGCTTGTTTGTTTCACCTGCCAAACTAAAGGAGAGGTAGAAAAAGGAAGATGCAAGCGATTTGGGACCTTGAACAAGGCAAATATGGTTTTGGTATGTTTACTTCTAGTTTTTTTTCTTCTTCTTTGACACTTTTTTTTTTTCGGGCAATGTGTTGTGATTCTTGTGTTTCTCTTTTAAGGAAAACAAAAAATCCAAAAAAGCAAATGTTAGCTAACGTGTGTCTTAAACGATCGTTTCTAAGGTTACGTGGGTTGCTCTGAGGAGGGGAAGAGGGGAGGGGGGCAGACCCAAGCTGGTGGAATTGCAGCACCATCAGTTAGCACGTCCTTTAGCTAAATAAAGCAAAGTAGCAAACAAACAAACAAGCGAACAAACCCAACGACCGGAATTGCTTTCCAGGTCCGAGGCGAGGGAAAAGCTCCTCAAAGTCATTTCCAAAGCGGCGGCCGGGAGGTAGAGCCCGGTCCGAGCCTCCCTTACCCGGCTCCGGGAGGAAGAGGGGGGGGGGGGGGAAACCTGCCCTGGAGGGTGGGAATGGGGGGGAGAAACAAGGCTCTTAAGTTAAGTGATAGGTATTAAACTGCACGGAATTATGTCGCCGGGTGCAGCTGGCAGCGTTTATTTAGGGGGAAAGAAATAAAACACTAAATACAAGCGGTCAGTGGGGAAGGTATAGCGCCGAGACCCCCCTCTCCCCTCCGGTCCCTTCTCCGGCTGAGCAAGTACAATGGGGGAAAAAAAGCTGGAATATACTCACCATCCGAAGGTGTGGTTGGCAGTTCGGCCGAGGCTTTAAAGCAATTATTTCTCCTTCATTTTTTTTTAATGGATATTTTTTAAAGGATTATCGCAAAAGGCGTAGATGTGACTTTAAGCAGCAAAAGTGTTTTGCTCTGACAGCAGCATGCGAGGCACGGTTCGTCGTTTAAAAAAAAAAAAAAATCACAAAACAGGATTCTCCCTCTCTTCCCCCCCCCCCCCCCCCCCCCATTCCTTTACCACTATCCCTTAAAAATACCTATTCGGTGCAGCGCTCGCAGAAACCCTGCTGCAGAAATCTTATAGTCCGGTCTAGGAGTGCCCAAGCCAATTAATTTAAAATCCTTAGGAATTAATCAGATTAAAATGTACAGAAGTTTCATTCTCGTACGCATACGTGAGCCAAAAGTCGTTTCCCTTTAAGAGATCCTTTTCTTTTAAAGTTGAATTTTAGGCAGATAAGAGACTTACACTAGGGGGCAGCCGGATACTGTACTTGCTCCAATCTTAAGCAATTTTTTTTCCTCTCTCACAGCATATGCTCTGATTTAGCACTGTAAATTTTTCAGAGGACCCAACTCTGACAGCCCCTGGTGATTTTCAAAGTACCACAAGCCAGTGGTTAAAAATTGCATTGACTTGGAAGTTCAGAGGCACACAATAGGAGCCACTTTCCCTATTCATGGAACTTCAGTGTGGTGGAAGAGAAAAACACACACATACTACATTGAGGGAGAAGAGGAATTCATTGAATTCTGTTAGACGTAACTGCTTTCCACTGAGTTCAGAGCGAAACTCGGTATTTATTCGATGCTGTATTCATATTGCGATTTAATCTAGAAAGAATTAGAGGACTGTTATGCAGCTTTCTGCCAGGAAAGCAGCTTCCCCTTCTTCTCTATTTTTTTAAACCTAAAGATTTACACCGGCTCTCTCCCCAACTCTATTTTAGCAAAATAAATCCTTCCACTCCCTCTCATTAAAATAAATTTACATCTGCAGTAAAATGGCAGGAGGGATGCGTTTGTTTATTTGGGAAACCAATACGCTCTTACTTTTAAAACAGAGCGTTCCTATTGTCATTAGGCTGGGAGAAGGACGGTGGAGAATGTCCCCCTGCTCTGCGAGGCGCTCAGGTTTCGAGGATTATTGAGCGAAATTAGCTGCAGTTCATTTTTACATTCATCTGTTCTGCCTCAACCCACTCGCAGGGGTGTTTTCAAATAAATAGCAAAGCATCTAATGGTGCTAATAGATAGTTATATTACTCCATCCCTCGAAGAGCAAATAGTTAATCTGGGGCATTCTTCATTAATGCTTGAGCAATCAGCGTATACGGCGGCTTTTAAGCGTGTATCAATGGCTTTTCATTTTTACGATCCTACGTTCAAACTATTAATATTGTCCGTCCTGTTAAACCCGCTTTCTCTTCTGATTTCTACGTTTGTTAAGACGGCGTTAATGTAATTTTTTCATATGGTGAATTAATCCTGTTTACTTTGTCAGGTTTGAGGCAGGAAAGGTTGGTGTTGGGCTGGGGTTTCGGGTTTTTTATTATTATTGTTATTCCTCCTACAGAAATTCAACATCAGCAACAATCTGTGGCTATTCTGTATTTTGAACGCCCACCCTCCCCGAAAGGTGACCTCCTCGGCTCTGGGTTATTTGGAAATCATAAGGCAGTTTCCCCACATTTTAACGGGAAAAGATTCCTTTCCCCCTTTCTGTCTTTCCAGTCGCTCCTGGTCCCTATTTCGGGGAAAGGTCGGGTTTGTTCTGTCAGGATCAGTGGGAATGCTGCAGCCTTGTCTTTGAAATTGAGCCGCAGCCTATCTCCGTTCGGGGGGTCTTGGTACACCAGGTTTCCGAGCAGGACACTGTCAAGTCTCTGTGCCTTTTTACAACTTTCTAGTCACCTCAGCACCTGCGGCATTAGCCACATATATTATTTCTGCTGCAGGAGGAGGGGGTGTGCATGTGGCAACATGAAAAAGTGCGTGTGAGGAGGTGAGGGGCAATTAATTCTTTGCGGAGGGGTGCTCAGGTCTGTGTCCCCTCGCCCGCACTTGGCGGCCAGCTCGGATGGGAGCGTACGGTGTTTGCACTGGAGGAATAGTCCGGCCGGGCTTTTATCCGGCTACGTTAACGTGTTTTCTTATTTATCTCTCCGTCCCTTCGCTTGTCCCGGTGTCCTTTGGCCATTTTCGCGAGGAGATGAACCCCCTGTCCCCGTTCCGCTGTCCGGTAGCTCTGTTCGGAGGGAAATAAACAACTGTCCCCGTGTGCTGAGACCGGTTACCGGTGCTCCCGCTGGAGCATAGGGCTTGTGTTACCGTGTCAGAGTACGTGTGACCCAAGAGAACAGAAAAAAAGGGGGGGAAAGAACACACAAACCCCCCAAATATAGTTGAAAGGCTCGGGATGAGCTGCGCTATAGCGATGCCGTGGAGGTGGCGAGGGAAAGACACAAGCAGCACACGCTGCGAGGTCTTTCCGAGCACAGGGCAAGGGAGAGACGCTGTCTTGCGGGAACCGCGGTGCCTCGGCCGCGGCGGAGAGCCCGGGGCTAACGGCGGAGCCCCGTTACCCAGCCGGGGCCGTGCTGGGCTAGCGGCCTCTCCCGCACCGCCGGGCCGAGGACACGCAGCACGCTGAGTGCGGGCGGCCGGGACAAGCGCAGGTGCCGCCGCCGGTGCGCCCGGAGCGAGGCCGAGCTGGGGGCAAAGGCAACGCCGGCCGCGGCGCGACCACAGCGGGCGCGAGGCGCGTACCTGAGCCGCTCAGCGCCGGCGGAAGCCGGACGGCGGGGCTGGTTTTCACTTGGTTCTGTGCAGTTTTACCTCAGTTTCGCGTCAGACCTCTGATTTGCACCCGCCGCCCCCTCACGACCCCCGAGGCCGTGCCCCGCCGGGCGGCCCCAGGTGAGGCGGCGGCGGCGGCCGCACTCCACTCCCGTCTCCGAGCTCGCCTTAACCCCTCGCCCCAGCGGGAAGAGGGGAAGGGAAGGGCAGGGCGAGGGGAGCGGGGTGCGCGGGGGGACACCCAGTCCCCCGTGGCGGTTGTGGTAGCGGTGGCAGCAGCGGGGCGGCGCCTGCCTCTAGGACCGCGCGGGCGGCGGCGGCGGCGGCCATGGTTTAGGCCGCGCAGGAGGCGTCGCGGCCCAATGAGGGCCGAGGGGCGGGGCGCGAGCTTTTGACCAGTCAAACGCCGGTCGGGGTAAGGGAGGTGGAAGGAAGGGGAAGGGAGGGGGGGGGGGATGTGTGTGTGTGAGTGTGTGTGTGAGTGTGTGTGTGTGTGAGGGGGGGGGTGGTTTGCGCTGCGCCTTATAAGGCGCGCGGTCGCCATGGCAACGCGCGCTAAGTTGCAGCAGCCGTGTCAAAGTTCACTCTCCCGCCAGCGGGGCGAGCGGCCGGCGGGGAGGGAGGGAGAGAGAGAGAGAGAGTGAGCGAGCGAGCGAGCGAGAGAGAGAGAGAGAGAGAGAGCGCGAGGGCGCGCGCGCTCTTTACGGCTCCGGCTCGCCGCTACGGCCCACGCGCCGCCCGCCCCGCCCCGCCCCTCCCATTCCGCGCCGGTTGGGGGGGGGGCAGTGGGGGGCCGGTGGGGTGGGTGATCCCCCTCTTCGCTCTTTTAATTGGGGGGGGGGGGGGGGGAGAGGGTTGTCGCTATTTCCCCCCCGCCCCGTTCCCCGCGGTGGTTTTTTCTCCCTCCCTCCCTCCCTCCCTCCCCGGCTGAGGAGCGATGCTGCGCGCTGGGTTATGATCCTTCCCTCTCTCCCTCCTCCGCCTCCTCTTCTCCTCCTCCTCCTCCTCCTCCTCCCGCTCCCCTCTTTTATCATCCTGGCTGGCTGGGCGCTGCTGTGCTGGCGAGTTGACTCCTTCCCTCCCCCCCGCCCCGCGGCCCCCCTCCCCCCGCCCGCGCCGTGAGCACCGGCGGCGCGGAGGCGAGAGCCCACTTGCGAGGCGGCAGAAGCAGCATAAGGCAGCGCGGCGGCGGCGGCAGCGGCAGCAGCACCCGAGCGGCGGCGGCGGCGGCGGCGGAGGGGACACGGCGCGGCGGGAGCGGCGAACCGAGGAGCGAATAAACGATCATAATTAATAATAATAACAATAATAATAATCAAAACAGAGCGAGGAGAGGAGGAGGAGGAGGAGGAAGAACAAACCCAAACAGCCAGCCCCCCCACCCCCGAGCCCAAAAGAGGGAGAGACAGAGAGAAAGAGAGCAGCGCCCGGGCGGAGCGGCGGAGAGGAAGAATTAAAGCGAGCGAAGGAGGAGGGAGGAGAGACAGAGCAGAGAGAGAGAGAGGAGGAAAGAGGAGGAGGAGGAGAAAGAGGAGAGGAGAGAAAAAAAAAAAAAGAAAAAAAAAAAAAGAAAAGAGAGAGCCCACAAAAACAAAGCGATCGCGGTTGATGTTGCTGCTGCTGCAAGCTGGACTTCCAAAAACTACGGCGAGACCGGCCGCCTCTCTCCGCGCCGAGAAAAGTCTCCTCCGCAGCCGCGCGTGGTTTTTTCCGCTGTGTGTGTAATCTTTAACCTTTTATTCATTCTTATTTTGATGGCTTTCCTGAATGGCTGACTGCGAGCTTCCCTGGACCTGGCCCCCAGACACCCGCCTCTCCTCCTTCAACTACTCTGCTGCAGATCAGCTCTAAGAGAGAGAGAGGGAGATCTTTGAAGAGATTTTCTTTTTTTTTTTTTTTTTTTCTCCTCTCTCTCTCTCTCTCCCCCTCTCTCCTTCCCCCCCTTCCCCCCCCCCCCCGTCCCAAACCCCCCACTACCCTCTTTTACTTCGCTCTCCTGGAGCCCAGACAATCGACTCGCAACTCGCCCCCCCGCACACACACCTCCATCGCCCCGTGCTTCTGCACCTCCGCCGGTACCGGGAGATCCCCCCCGCCCTGAGCCTCCTGAGAGGAAAAAAAAAACCTAAGGAAACAACAAAAAAAAAAAAAAAGAGAGAAAAAGGGGGCAAAACAATAGAAGAGAGAGGGGGGAAGAGAGAGAGAGGGGAGGAGGAGAGAAAAAAAAAAAGCAGAGAAAAAGACTGCTGCAAAGCTGATCTGAACAGCAAAGCAAACAAACTTTGAAAATAAAGGGGGAACAGGAAGTTTGGCAACGGTGTCCCATAGATATGGCAATGGTAGTCGGTGCGTGGCGAGACCCCCAGGACGATGTGCCCGGAGCTCAGGGAACGCAGCCTTCGCAAGCGCCGCCGGTGCAGGGACCCCCGGCCGGGGCCCCGCACACCCCGCAGACCCCGGGCCCCGGCGGCCCCCCCAGCACGCCGGCCCAGCCCAACCCGCCGAGCCAGCAGAGCCAAGGAGACAAGCAGCAGCAGCAGCAGCACATTGAGTGTGTGGTTTGTGGGGACAAGTCTAGTGGCAAACATTATGGCCAGTTTACCTGCGAGGGTTGCAAGAGTTTCTTCAAGCGGAGTGTAAGGAGGAATCTCAGCTACACTTGTCGTGCCAACAGGAACTGTCCCATTGACCAGCACCACCGCAATCAGTGTCAGTACTGCCGCCTCAAAAAATGCCTCAAAGTTGGCATGAGACGGGAAGGTATTGGGATTTCATTTGTTTTGCAATTTTTTTTTTCACTCGCTGCGTTTTGGGTTTTGTTGTTCTCTCTCTCTCTTTTTTTTTTTAATATATATATTTATTATTATTTTTAACCTCCCTCCCCAAACCCAACCAGAACCTTTCCTTCTCCCACCCTCCCCCTCACCCTCAATAAACAGACAGAAACTTTCTCGCAATGAAAGAAAGAGGTGCTGGGGAGGGTGGGCAGGGGCTCTTGCATGCTCTTCTCCCGCACTCGTAATTGATTTGTGTTTGTTTTGATTTTGCTGATGGAGGTTTATTGGAAGTGGATTTTTAGTTTCACGCTGCTTAGGAGCGAGATGAGGATTCTGACGTGTGGTTACTTCATGTTTCCTCCTGCATGCTCCGAGTTAGCTGCTCCGGGCATGTGTATGTGTGTCTCTGTGCGTGTGTACACACACAAGAGATGCACACACAGGCACATATATATGTATATAATATATATATATCCTCCAGCACCCTGCCTTAGATTGCAATTTTACACAGGCGGTTCAAATTACTATTACAATGGGACTCACCCTACCGAGGCTCTACAGCACTCCACTGTGGATTCCCAGCTGGATTTTTCCTTTAAAAATACATATACACGCACATCTTCGTGCGTGTGTGTATGTATATATATGTATATTGCCGTTTGCCTGCCTTTCCTGGTTGTTATTATCCCACTTTTCCTTTCTTCCTCTTATTTTCTCGTTCCACCGGGAGAGGCAGGAGGGGAGTTAGAAGGGGAGGGTGGCGGGGGGGGGAAGGAAAGAGCAGCCCAGAAGTAAGTGTGGGGTGCTCGGGTCTCTGCAAGTCGAGTCTTTGTGATATAAAATTAGACGGGAAATGTGAGCCTGCAGTTTTCCAGTGCGTGCTCTGTGTCTGGACGCTGCTATGTAGGTTAAGGGTTAGGGGGCTTGGGACTTGCTGGGCTTCTCTCTTTGTGTTTCTGCAAGAGTAACTAACCTTGTAATAGTGGCGATAACAAATACAAATCAAGCACATTTTTAGGCGTTCTCCCTTCTTGCCGTCTCTCTGCCTCTGAGCCCTTTTCCTCTCCTTTTTCTCTCGCTGTCACCGTGTAAATTTATTAACAAAATGAAAGGCCCACTTTCCATGGGCAGCAGAGGAAGGTGCCTTTGGATCATGCCCCCAGCCTCGCCAGGGGATCTGCCGGGATGTTGAGGGGTGATGTCGGCTCCTTTGGTATTTTTTTATGAGGGGGGGTGTGTATAATAACACCAGCAACAATATATTCAGTGGGCGAGAAACGCGTGTGGGACCAGCGCCGGGGATTTTGAACTGAAGTGCTTCTCCCCTCTTCCCCTCCCTCCTTTCCCATCCTTTTCCCCTAGCCCCAAATCAATAAGCTGGTTGAGGTGTAATGAAGAAAAATACCCGGGCACACAAAGACGTACCCTGCATCTCTTGAAGGAGGGGAGGCGGTGGAGGGATTGGGAAGGGGGGGAAAGAACCGGCTTGTGGTGTGTTTTGGGAAGTGAATATCTCGGGCTCCTGCAGGCAGTCCTGGCTGAGCGGACAGCATTGCTCTGCTCTTATTGTTGCTTTGACTTGACCCGGGAGCTGCAGAGCCTTAAAGCAGGGGTACGGGCTGAACTCTGGCTGAAAAAAATGCATGTTTCCCTCTTAAACTGACTTGGTCCGGTGTCACACGAGCACGCACAAGCACACAAAGCAGGCTGTATTGGAACCGATGGTCGCAATTCAGATATTAATAGCTGTAGTTTCTTCTTTATTTACTGCAGCGGTCCAGAGGGGCAGAATGCCACCCACACAGCCAACTCATGGTCAGTTCGCCTTGACAAATGGGGACCCTCTCAACTGCCATTCCTACCTATCCGGATATATCTCCCTTCTTCTGAGAGCAGAGCCCTACCCCACCTCCCGCTTTGGCAGTCAGTGCATGCAACCCAACAACATCATGGGCATCGAGAACATTTGTGAACTGGCAGCTAGGATGCTCTTCAGCGCGGTGGAGTGGGCCAGGAATATCCCCTTCTTCCCAGACCTCCAGATCACAGACCAGGTGGCCCTCCTGAGGCTGACCTGGAGCGAGTTGTTTGTCCTCAACGCTGCCCAGTGCTCCATGCCCCTCCACGTAGCTCCGCTCCTGGCAGCT